TGAATTGTGATACTCAGATCTCAGCCTCCTGAATAGCTAGGATTACAGGTGTGAGCCACCAGTGCCCGGTTTAACCTAGTATTCTTTTTTTTTTTTTCTTTTGGTGGGGGGGGGGGGTCCAGTCGTGGAGCCTGAACTCTGGGTCTGGGCTTTGTCCCTCAGCTCTTCAGCTCAAGCCTAGCACTCTACCACTTGAGCCACAGCACTACTTCCGTCTTTTTTCTTTTTTGCTTATGTGGTGCTGAGGAATCGAACCCAGGGCCTCATGCATGCAAGGATAGCGCTCTACCACTGAGCTACCTTCCCAGCCCCTTCCTTCCTTTCTTTCTTTCTTTCTTTCTTTCTTTCTTTCTTTCTTTCTTTCTTTCTTTCTTTCTTTCTTTCTTTCTTTCTTTCTTCCTTCCTTCCTTCCTTCCTTCCTTCCTTTTTCTTTCTTTCTCTTTGGCAATAGGGTGATAGGGCTATTTTCAATTATGTTAGTTTGACAGCCTTGAAGTGATCTTAACAGAATTATAAGAAAACTTGTTAGAATATTCATACTATCAAAATGGAGAATATTTTGTGAAGTTCAAAGCATATCATTTTAAGCAGCCGCTACACTAATAAGAGGAGGATTCAGTTTTGCTTTTTTCCCCCATTTTGGTTTTTCTCCATTTTCTTTTCTTCATTTTTACTATCTTTTACTTTTTACTTATTGTTGGTGGTGGTATAGGGGTTTGAACTCAGAGCTCACAAGGCAGATGCTCTACAACTTTTTTCCCGTCCTTTTTGTTTTAGCTCTTTAGTTTCGAATAGTTTTTTATATTTAGAGCTGTGGGCAAGTGTGGACTGAGATCCTCCTGTTTATGCTTCCCACATAGCTGGGATATAGGGAAGTGGAGAAGGAAAGAAGGAGAAACAGGATGACTTGAAGTAAAAGATTATCAGTGTAAGATAATGTTTTATATGAGGCTGCAAGGTAAAAGAAGAACTTTGAAACACAAAATTAAAGTTTATAAGAAATAGACATCATAAAGGGATGAATGAAGCTGGGCACCAGTGGCTCACATCGGTAATCCTAGCTACTCAGGAGTCTGAGATCTGAAGATTGCGGTTCAAAGCCAGCCCAGGCAGGAAAGTCCATGAGACTTATCTCCAATAAACCACTCAAAAACTGGAAGTGGCACTGTGGCTCAAGCGGTACAGCGCTTGCCTTGAGCTGAAGAGCTCAGGATCAGCACCCAGGCCCAGAGTTCAAGCCCCAAGACCGACCAAAAACTAAAAAAAAATAAAAACAAAGGGATGAATGAGTCCCCTCATTAGCTTCTATCTTGATGGGTAAATATTACTAATTGCCTTTGGGTATGGTAGCATACATTCATAATCCCAGCATTTGAGAGGCAAAAGCAGGAGGATCATATGAGTTCCATACTAGCCTGGGCTACATACTAAGACTCCTCCTCCTCCTCCTCCTTCTTTTCCTTCTTCTCCTTCTTCTTTGCGTATATAAATGTGTATGACTTATTTTACAAGATGAGGCTCAGTGATTCAATGAAAATGTTATTCCTAGTTTTCATTTTTATGCATTTAGTTGTTGAGAAAGTTGCTTCTAATAAATATATAGAAAAAACAAAAGTCTTGTTATAATAGTATTATTCAAGTCTTTGAATTAAATTTGTGTTCTATGCCAAAAAAGTGATTTGTCATCAAAAATTATTTTTAATTATCCATCAGCTGACAAGTTGATTAGGCCTTTTTCTGTTCTGTTGACAACCAAGAACTGGAAACAGACTTAGAAGAGGATGTATTACCCAATCTTTAGAGGCTGTGGCTTCCTGACCTCGATAACATATGCTGAGTTAATTTGCTTGCTGGCTATTTTTGCACTCTGGGGAAAAATATGGTTCAGGTGGCAAAGTTCAAGTGTGCAAGGTTAATCTGCTTCTTACGACAAAAGGGAAGTTGCAAGGTATGGAACAGGTGAGCACATCCGTCTTCTCACTTAAATCCAGTAGGAAACAACAAAGAATCTGCCCACCGAAAGGCATTACGTTGGTTCCCTTCATGCCAGCGTCTCCTAGTTCTTGGTGTCCACATTCCTATGTGGGAAGGTATTCCCACTGTGAACATGGCCTGTCTACAGAAAAGTACACAAAGTGAGGTGATACTCAGGCCTTTCTGAAACCATTAGAGATCTGGGAAAGTCAGTAGCTTAATGGGGCCTTGGGAAGGCTTAAGGAGGACCCTGGGCTCCCTGGCTAGCTGTCATATCAAATACAGTGATGTCCTACTTGAAAAGTCAGTTTGCAAGCCAGGTGCCAGTGAATCATGCCTGTAATCCTAGCTATTCAAGAGACTGAAATCTGAGAGTCGAAATTCAAAGACAGCCCTGATAGACAAATCTGAGAGAGTCTTATGTCCAATTAACCAGCAAAAAAAAAAACCCCAAAATGTAGCTGTGTCTCAGGTGGTAGAGCATCAGCTTTGAGCAGAAAAGCTAAGACAGAGCACCAGATCCTGAATTTGAGCCCTGTTACTGGCATGCGCACGCGCGCACACACACACACACACACACACAGTTTGCAGAAAATCAACTCTGTTAGCAATTAAGAATAGATTTCTGAGGACAAGTCAAGCCTGTTTTAGAGTGAAAAGACTCCTCCTAGAGACCCTAGGACAAAGCAAACAAGCCAAGACATGAGTAGGAAAGACTTTATGTTGATAAACAGCTGCTACAACATTCAGGCTGACTTTCCCCTTTACTGAATGCTTTTTGGATATACCTTCACAGTGAAGCAGATGTGTGCTTTATTTACCAAGGCACACTCAGTCCATTCAAGTTGGCTATCAAGATTGACCACCATAGATCTTAGCTTCTCCATCCAATTGTGTTTCCAGAGCTCCCTTTTTACTTCTTAGCAGTGGAATGGGAGGGAGGAGAGGGAGGCAAGAGGCTCAATTCCCTACTGCACTGTTGGTGCCTTAAGGCCTGCGTTCCCTTGGTTCTCTGGGTGTTTACTGGTACTATCTGGATAGAATCCAGTCACAGCCTGCACTTGTTGACTGCTTCACTTACTATGCTTGTCTTCTGCTTTCTTTTCCACTGAACTCTTTATTCTTTCAATTTGCATGGCTGTTATTTTGATGAGGATTTCAGAGAAAGGAGGAATACTTAGACTGATAGAGCCTTTGATTTTATACAGTTTAAAAAATACGAACTTAAAACCACCTATGGTCTTGATAACAAACCTACATAAGTGATTCTATGAATACATGTAGATATTAGTACATTGTCTACAGTACTGATTGAAAGTGTGAAAAATTAGAAACAGTTTGTATATTATTGCTAGCCAGGCATGATGACTGATACCTGTAATCCTAGCTACTTGGGAAGCTAAGATCATAAAGATCAGTGTTCAAGGTCAGCCCAGGAAAACCGTGTCCAAGACTCTATACCTCTAAAAAGGTATGCATGGTGATGCATACTTATCTTTTTTACTTTGGAGTTGTAAATAGAACCATCATGAGAATAATGAGAAGAAATACTTCAGTAACCCTATACTACAAAACTCTATGTAATAATAATTTTTAAAAATGTTGTTGACCTAAATACACAGATACAAAAATCTAAGTAATATTCTTAAATTCAGAAAGCAAATATATCGCATTTATGAATCCACTTGTATCATTCTAAACCACAAAAGCAGAATTATTGTGATTCATACTCACAAGTGAATGTAGAATATGGGAAATTCATTTGGCCAAATCCTCATTGATCTTCAGCTTGACCCAATGGCTGTCTGTCATTCACAGGAGCCATCACTGGGCCTACTAAACATATTGCTCATTATCAGACTGATGAGATTCTTCACTCACCAAGGAAAAACTCCCATACTTACTCTTCTTTCAGTTAGCTTGATGAGATCATCCCTAAATGCCTATACAGTATGGGCTTTAGATGTGTGATTGCTGCTTTAAGTTCTCTTTTGCCATGTTCAAACCACTCTAAAACCATAATGGCTTAAAACAACACACTTACGTCTCTTCCTGTGGTTCAGAAACCTGGGCTGTGGCTTAACTAGCTTCTCTGGCTCAAGGACTCTCATGAGGCTGCAGTCCAGATCTCCCACAAGGCTGCTTGCTGCAAAGTTGGGCCTGTGGTCATCCCAAGGCTTCACCAAGGGATGACTCACTTCCAAGTTCATGCGTGTGGCTATTGGCACCACTCAGGTCCTTGAAGGTTGTTGGCTAAAGGCCATCCTTATAGCTCCCTGAAACTTGGGCCTCTCTGTTGAACAGCTCTCATAGGACAGATAGTTTCTTCAGAATGGGCAAGTAAGAAGCAGAGCTGGAGGAAAGAAGGGAGAAAGGGAGGGAAGAGGAAAGAAGGGAAGAGAACAAGCAAAATGAAATCATATAGCCTTATGCAAATGAATCTTAGAATCGCCCAGTGTGTTTGCTATATTCTGTTTCTCAAAAGTAAGTCTTTAGGTACAGCCCTTAAGAGAAAGGGATTACTTCCCCTAGGGGCATATACCAGGATGCGGGGACTTCATAAACTGACTATCACAGTGATTAAAGATAATTCAGATGTTGCATGAGAAATTCACAAGCCCCCCATGCACCAAAAAAATGTTGATACAGATAAAGAGTCTTTAGGCAGATATGTCTTAAACATGAGATGTATCTAAGCCCCATTGTTTGCATATGATAGGTGCTCATTAATGTGTTTTTCTTCTCTTTGAACTTATTTGGAAATAATTCCAAAGTTGAAAAAAAAAAAGAAGTAAAAGAATCCCCTATGTACTTATCATCCTTTGCAGAATCACAGTTTACCACTAATGGGGGACTGAAAACATGAAGTTTGCCACCTGGGAGGACAGTATTGGTAACCATCCAAGTATTGGGGCCTAGTGAGAGGCATTGGACCCCAGCCCCATCCCCCCCCCCGCCCCCGCCCCCCCCATAATGAAGTTGCCATGTCTGCAATCTTTTCTTCTCCCCCGCCCCTCTCCCTACAGAAAACCCTGAGAGGGCAGCTCTGTACTTTGTCTCTGGCGTGTGCATCGGCCTGGTCCTCACCTTGGCTGCCCTGGTGGTGAGGATCTCTTGCCACACAGACTGCCAACGGCATCCTCGGAGGAGGTTTCTGCAGGACCGAGAGAGCAGCGACAGCAGCGACAGTGACGATGGCAGCGAGGACACAGCATCTGACCTCTCGGTGCGGAGACACCGGCGCTTTGAGAGAACTTTGAACAAGAACGTGTTCACCTCTGCGGAGGAGCTGGAGCGTGCCCAGCGCCTGGAGGAGCGGGAGCGCATCATCAGGGAGATCTGGATGAATGGCCAGCCGGAGGTACCTGGCACCCGGAGCCTGAACCGATACTATTAGGGGAGCAGCTGGAACCCCTGGTACCCCTGGAAGGGAAAGGTCCTGCAGGGACGGGTGGGCCCAAGGAGGTGCACCCAGCTCTACTAACATGGTGGTGGCAGAGTCATAGCAGCCATTTTCTAGCCAGGAGGACCACGTTCTCCCTTTCAACGTGTTGTCTATGGAGAAGTAAAACAAACAACTTTTGCAGGACTTGGGATGATGCTGTGCTTCCATTGCCAACCATGGGGATGGAGATTTGAGAACCAGGAGGATGGTTTCTCTTCATTTCTGAGGTTCTCAGAAGTTTGTGCAGACTTGATGGCTATGGTACTCCTTTATAAAAGGAGCGATTCTCAGCATGAAAGCTGGAGTTATCTGGGTGACCTTAACCCAGGAAATGTAATTGTCTAAATGGCTCTGCTAGGGAGGTGTTTCTGATTCAGGTAGCATGACCTGTGCTTATTATTTAAAAGTAATTTCTAAAGATCTCACATTGCAATAGCAACCTCTCCATTTTAACTGGAACCTCAGGGATTAAAATCCTATTTTTTTAATATAGCTCCCATCACATTCATGAAAATGAATAGAATTACTATATTTAGGGCAATGTGTCAGTGGACCAGACAATGTCAATAACCTCTAAGGATGAAGGGTTTTTTATTTTAGATAGTTTATAAAATTTATATATATGGACATGCATATTTGAAAATGCTGCATAAAAATAAAAAAAGTGTGTGCCCTCCCTCTTTGGAGAGAGGAAAGGTTTATGACGGTTCCAGATAATCATGAGTTTTAACCATTTTTGTTTTTTGAAAAAAAAAGTCTTGAATTCCAAGAAAAGAATGGAAATGGGAGGTAAAGATTAAAGCCAAAATTAAGATGAATAAAAAAAATGTTTCATGAAATGTTCTTTATTTGTTTGTTTCATATCTGTCTCTGGAGCTGGCCTTTGCTGGGCACCTTGAGGATTAGAATGAGAAAATGGACCCTGTGTGATTATGGGGCTTCTCATTTTCTGTAGATTATATGCATGGCTGCAAAGTAATTGAATTATCAAATTATTAAAAAGAGGACTAGAGTCAGGTGTCGGTGGCTCATGCTTGTAATCTTCGCTATTCAAGAAGTTGAGATCTGAAGATTACCACTGAAATCCAGCCTGGGTCTGTGAGACTTTTACCTCCAATTAATTACCAAAGAAAAGCTGGAACTGGAGCTGTGGCTCAAGTAGTAGCCTTGCTGGGGGGGGGGGGGGGGGGGGGAACTGGGAGAAAAGAAAAACAGCCCTAGGACATCATGCAGGCCCTGAGTTCAAGCCTAATGACTGGTACATGCATGTGCGTGCACACACACACACACACACACACACACACACACAAAATAGAGTAGAAGACTTATCTAAGAACCTGACAAGAAAGATGGTGACTACCACATGGAGAGAGGAATTGGGAAAGAAGGGAAATTGACATGACAAGGCTGTCACATATAGAAATGGGTCACAGAGAAAGAAGTAAAATTCTCTAGATGGAAAAGAAGTAATGGTGTAATCTAATCTATTGGCGCCCTTCTCTTGTGAGAGAGAAAGTTGCTTAGTTCATCTATATGGCTGATCCAAACCTTCCAGTTAAATCCTGCACATTGACTTTGTCATCATGCCTAACAGAATAGGCACGAGACAGCCTCCTATGAAGTCTCCATAATTCACTTTCAATTATGGGGCCTTAAAGAACTGTCCTAAGAACTAAACAGTCATAACCTCTGGTTGCCCAGGCACCAATTCAGTTTGCTTGAAACAAAACATTGTTAAGCCAGCATGACCTTGTTTGTTATGCTTACTACTCTTACCATATTGCTGTAAATCCAACCATTTACCTGTTCTTCAGAAGCAGAGTCTGTCTTGTTCTTCTTGAGTCCCGTAAGATGTACAGTTTGTCAAATATTATATTTTCAGAAACTTTGGTGTTGGATTTTGAAGTATTAATCAAACCTTGTTACCTTCATTTCCTGGGCATATAGATGGCACCATTTTCCAGCCACTTTTGTAGTTAGATGTTGCCATGTGATCAAGTTCTGCCCAGTGGATTATAGAATGTCTATGTAATTGACATTTACCTGTTCAGTGTTGTCTGATTCATAAAGACTACTTCTGATCCTCTCCTCTGTTTCTGTCTCCATCTCTGTCTCCATCTCTGTCTCTGTCTCTCTGTTGCTCTCTTTCTCTCTCTCTGTCTCTCTCATTTGGAGGATCTACAAGCTAGTAGAGCCTAGGTTTTGAGTCACCAAAGAAAGCTACTCAGGACCAAGAACATCCACATTGTATTTTGAGAATTTGATGAAATAGAAATCTGAATCTGGGTTTGGGAGGGCAGTTAATCTCTGTTTGCAACTCCCTAGATCTAAATAGGCACATTCCTAACTCATTGTTCATATGTAAAATTGATACCAAAACTTCAGAGGGGATTCTCTAAGTCAGAGTAACCCCTAGAATATGATATATTATGATGTATGCTTATATATAGTATATTATATAAATTATGTGATATTAAATAATATACAAATAATATGTAATTATATTTATATTATATATTTATATAATTATATATTATAATATATTATATTATATAATTTATATTAATATTGTACTATATATGATATATATTACATATTATATTACTATATATAATATATAAACTTAAGGGACAAGGGATAATATTTAGCCCAGCCCAAGAAGTCTTAGAAGACTTCCTAAGAGAAGAAACATGTCAAGTATTTAGGATGAGTAGAAGAGTGGAGAAGAAAATAAAATTTTATTTTGCTAGCCATTTCCTTTGATTGCTTTTAAGTTGTTCTGCTTTAAAGCTACCTTATATTCATAAAGCATTTTATCCATTGTCCTTTATTCATATCTCATATTACATTCTAAATGTTACCTCCAAAATCTTATTTTTTACCTAGCTTCTTTTTGAGTTTAATATTTTGTGTATGTGTTACTAGGAATTGAGCCCGAGGCCTTTGCATACGAAGCAAACACTGGACCATTTCAGTTAAACTCCCAGACTTCTCCCTTTTATTCTAATATCCATTTTGAAGTATTCATCTCTTGAATTCTTTTTTGTTGAATAAAGTGAATGTGGCAATACCTCCTCACTCCACACCTCCCTGTCATAGCTTCAGCATCACACTTCTCAAGAGGCTGCTCTGAGCAGGGAAACTTGCTCTTGGGCAGAGCAAAATTAGCCTTTTTTTTTTAATGTTTTTCTTCATCTTCTCAAATTATATTGTTATTGCACAAGTGGACTCTTCTCATTGTCAGCCCATGTAAATCTTTATAGTTTAGAGTGTGATTCTTTCTTCCTCAAAATACTTGTTTAATCAACATTTTAAAACCAGTATCAAAAGTATCAGCCTTCAGTGATAGGTGGTCCTTCTAAGTCTTTGTGAAAATGTGTAGCATGATCCTACCTTATCACTGTAAATTTGAAAATGTATGGCTCTTTTAGGTTTAAAAGATAGGAATTGCACTTTTTTTTAGCCTGGGATATAACTGTGTTTCATTTTCCAGACAGAGTGAAACACTTTTATTGTATCCTCACCATTTCTTTTGTACCTTTCTTTAGACTCTAGTGTCTGAGCCACTGGCAGCTGAAATGTATTTTACTCACTTCTGTGTTCTCAATGTTATCAGTATGCATGTCAGATGTGCCTCATAGTAACAGATTTGTGGGTTTTGTTTTCTTCCTTCCTTTCCTATTTTCTATCTCTCTCCTATTTCCCTCCATTCTTTCCTCCCTTTTTTCTCCTTCCTCTCTCTCCTTGCCTTCTTCCCCCCCCCCCCACTCTCTCTCTGTGTCAGTGGTAGGGCTTGAACATGTGGCTCTCCCTGAGCTCTTTTGATCAAGGTTTGGGCTCTACTGCCTTGAGCCACAGTGCCACTTCCAGTTTTCTGGTAGGTAATTGGAGATGAGTCTCACAGACATTACTGCCTGAGCTGTCTTTGAACCATGGTCCTCAGCCTCCTGAGTAGATAGGATTATAGGCATGAGTCTTCTCTTCTTTTTTTCCCATCCCCTCTCTCCCTTTTTCTGTTTCTTCCTCTCTCATTTTCTTTTTATCTTCTTTTAAAATCTTTTGAGACATCTTGGTGGTTTTTTTTTTCCACAGACACCTGTCTCCCTGGCCTCCCAAGTGGCTAGAACTACAATACATGCTGCTGCACCCAATACTTTTTGAACTAATAAAGCTAATAATTGATAATGAATCAAGCTAATAATAGATAGCTAGAAGTATATCAAGTGATAGGGTATGTGCTTATCAAGTGCAAGACCCATAGTTCAAACCCCAGTACCAATAAAACAATGAATAAAGTCTGAGAGTATAAAAGAGCCTTTTCAGCTATTCCAGAGTCCCAAACACTGATTATTTGTGTCAAGGACATTCCATTTATTTATTTAGTTAGTTAGTTAGTTAGTGCCGGGGATTGAAATCAGGGCCTGGGTGCTGTCCATGAGCTTTTTTGCTTAAGGTTAGCACTCTACCACTTGAACTACAGTTCATCTTCAAGCTGTCTTGGTACTTAATCAGTGATAAGAGTCTCCAATAAGATCAGAGTCTTTCCTGACCAGGCTGGCTTTGAATTGGGATTCTCAGATTTCAACCCCCTGAATAGCTAGGATTACAGGCTTGAGCCACCACCTCCCAGCTTCAAGGATAAGTTCTTATGTCTAAGAACATCTCTTTTATTCATCTCTTCATGCTTCCTTCTACTACTAACCATTTCCTTGTCTCTTTAGTCTGTAGGTTCTCTCTAGTGTTTCTCTATTATCTGTTAAGATGTGACCAGATGGTAGGGTTTTCATTTCATTTCTAATTTCAATTTATCCTATGGAGTTTTTAAGACATGTTATAGGTTAAAAGCAATAGGAGTTTCTTCTTGAGCTACAGTGGTTATTCTTGACCTCAGTGATGACCAATTTCCAGTCGTTTATGGGTTGAACAAATAAAAGAAAAATCTTCAAACTTATTCTCTGGGAATGGGCCCTATATTTCTCCAAACCAGTCACTCCTGTAACCTTTGTTACTCCTGCCTTCAAGATAATCTCAGTCTCATTCATCTGGTTTGATAAATTTGACTTCAGGCATGGTTTTCCCCCTTTTCATGGGAAAACCCATCATTCAGTCCCTGAGAGAAGAAAGTATGGTATAAAAGTTTCTTTTTCTAGCCATCTGCTCTCTTTTGGTTTTATTGCCTTCTATAGTAGGAAGAGACTTGGCTGTAATGGTAATGACAGGAAAATCAACACGACCTTTGCTTCTAGCTCTCATTTGAAAAACACAAGGAACCTCTGAGGTTCTAAAAAGCAAGATTTCTATGGGCCTGAGGCTGAGTTCATATTAGGGAGTCTATTGAAACTCAGAATTATAAAACAAGCCTCTATAGTTAAAAATGACCAAGGAGATTAACTATAAATTTCCCTTCATAATGCTAAAAGTTTGTGTTTGAAGACCTTGTGTCTATCTGCACTTTTCATGGGGAGTATCTGATGCCCTGTACTCTAATATCACATAACTCTGGCACATGTTTTGGAAGAAAAGGTGTGGACACTCAGGAAAGTATCTGGATATTTACAAATGATTTTTTTTTGTGCATTTGTTTAATCAGGAACGTTTTTGTAGAAAGGAGATACATGATGGGTTTTTTTTTCACTTTGTAAGATCAGACTTTGTCCTATCTAGGATCCAGAAACACTCCCATGCTGCCTGCTGCTGAGTAAAGGTCCAGAGATTTCAACCGAAAATAAGGATATAGAACTCTATTTCCTCCCCCAACTAAGGCATGCTGAAGAATGCCCCTTCCCCCAGAAATGTTGATTCAAATTCTTAGAACCTGTGAGTGTACTAACTTACATTTTTAA